AAAGTTTTTATTTTACGTTTGTGTTGCAAATCAGAATGCTTAATGCTTTCGAAAATTAAAATGCTTTCGGATCTTCTTCATTTCTCTATTGATTAAAAGGGCAAACCGCCATTGCAGCTGCTGCGGCCACCCGAAATGACTTGTAATGTTCCTAGTCCATATCAAGGCAAACACAATCTGAAAATATGCATCATGAAAATTTCCCAGAAAATTTAGATGAACATCTAAATAGTTAGTTTTCCCTACCCCTGTCCTTTTTTTTTTTTTTTAACAAAATGAAAAATAATTTATTTAACGAAGTACAAGGTACTTCAACCCTTATATAAAGTCCATAAATTCTAACTCATTAGATTAGTTTAAGTGATTATAAAGTCATTTAAACTATATTAGAAACACAAATGCGAATCCCTTAAATAAAATTTGAATGTAAACAATTCTAACAGGTTATCATCTTTAAAGGGTGAAGTTTTACTCAATCTTTATGAATAAGACAGTTTGTAATTATTTATGAAATTAATTTAGTTAAAGATCTAAATACTCATATTATCTTTAAAAAAAATCCTTAAATTCTTTACATTTAAAAACTAAGCCAGCTTACTTAGAGAAAATCCAAAAGTACCCTCCATTTCTTTATGTTGCTTCTTCTATTCTTTATGAAAATATTATACTTAAATATCACATAAGATTATATGTTTACAATGATAATATGAAATTAAATGAATAAATATAAATAATATTATACGTATGCATAATCTCTCTAAATAAAATGTCAATCATATAATAACATACTATAATAATAAAATTATAAAGTCACATAACATTTAACTTTAACATTTTCATATTCCTTACTTCTTGTACTTACAACATAATTAAAAAGAGCTTTTCCTCTCTATATATTTGCTATCAATTTAAGAAATATGACATCAGATGGGACATCATGAGGATATTTTAAGCCAAAATTTAGATAGAAAAAAATTAGGCATAAAAATTCTAGGATAGTTGATTCAGGCATTAGTTTTTAAGGTTTAACAAAATGAATTACAAACGAGTAAGCTCTCGAATACCACATCAACATCCAACTATATATATATATATATATATATATTTTTGAATCAATGGACAATAAATGAAGCAAATCATATATTCGAATTTAATCCACTTAGATGAGATTTTTC